GTGATCTCAGGAAACCTGGGCCATATGACCAATGTCCTTCACGTTTTTGAGGCTACATTGTTTGGGAGATTTTTTTTCTTTGGGGGTAGTATAGAGGAAAGAGAATAAAATGGCTGCAGGAAAAGGAATACTATTCTATTTCAGTTTCCTAATTTCCTTTATTAGACTTTTCAACTCAAGCCTTACACCCCACTCCTCTATCCAAACTAGGTCACTGAAGTAAAGTAGACATCTTGTATTTGAGTTAAACTAAAATTCATAAATGACTTAGAGGAGATTTACATGGTTTTCTTCTATGAGATATAGATCCTCAGATTTTAGAAATTCATTTTATTAATGTCTAATCTGCTCAAAAGGAATTAGAGTTCAGACTGGTGGTACAGTGCAGTGGCAGAGCACTTGCCTGGTGTGCCCCAAGCCCTCGCCTCCATCCCCCAACATAAAAAAATAAAATAAAAAAAGGGAGTCACTAGTTCAATAGAAGGGAACAAAAGGTGGTACCTTCACCAAGAGTAATGTTAAAAGACAGTATTCCTGTTTAGCAGGCTCTGTAAATGCAGTCATGTTGTTTAGCAGGAAAGACTAAACTTGGCTATTGGAATATAAAGGTATGTCTAAACTTAGCTATGGTTTACTGCTTTAAGTAGATCTTTGTTTTTGGTTTGCTTGTTTTCAACTTTGGATTTATGGTAGTTGGTAGGAAGACTTAGGGATAACATTGGAGTTATTTTCCTCACTTAGGATGAATAAGCTGACCTAATTTATGCCTTTGGCACTCAACATCCTCCCCTCCCCTCCCATCTCTTCTGTTCTTCCTCTTCTCTCTTCTCTCCTTTCCTTGTGCTGATACTGGGACTTGGACTCAGAGTATTGCACTCTCCTTTGGCTTTTTCTGTTCAAGGCTAGCACTCTTATACTTGAGCCACAACTCCACTTCTGTTTTGCTGGTTAATCAAGAGTCTCAGGGACTTTTCTGCTCAGGTAGGCTTTGAACCGAGTAGTTGAGATTATGGTCATGAGCCACCAAGCACATGGCTCAAGCAGGATTTTTTTTAAAAAATAAAAGTGGATTCTTGGAAGACCGACCCTGAAGTTCAAGGTGAGGCAAACAGGGCTTAGTGGAGCCTAACTATAGCTAGATGAGTCTTCAGCCCTAATTGTCTGTTTACCCATCATTTATTTTACCTTTACTAAAGAGAACCATTTTACAGACCTCTCTGCAGCATAGATTAGCTGCAAGGTGTGTGCCTGGTTTGGCTATTATTTGTGAAGTGTTTCAAGGTAGCAAATTATATACATATATACATATATTATGTATAAAATATGTATATATGATTTTTTATTGATTTTTTATTTATATTTTTTGCTTGGCCTGGGCCTTGAGCTCTCGGCCTATGCACTGTAAGCTCCTTTTGCTCTAGGCTATCTCTCAACCATTTGACCTATACCACTTCCTATTTCTTCTGAGATTAATTGGAGATAAGAGTCTCATGGACTTTCCTGCCCAAGCTGGCCTCAAACTGTGATCCTCGGATCTCAACCTCCTGAGTAGCTAGGATTACAGGTGTGAGCCACCAGCCCCCAGCAGTAGTAAATTATTTATTCATACTTACTTATCTTGGTGCTAGGACATGACCCAGAACTTATGATCATGTGCTAAAGCTCTTGCTCTAGCACTGTGCTATATACTCCCAGCCCCAGGGAACTGTATTTTAGATTTTCATGGAATATTGATGCAGAAGCTGCTGATAAGGGCAAGGAATAGAAGAAGGAAGAGAACAAATGGGACCCTTTTTGTGCTTGTGGAAATTTCCAGAACACATGCATATCATTTGGTTACTTGTATGCATTTGCAGACATTCCGCTCAGTGCAGCTGAGGTTGCAGAAGCAAAATTATAGTTTATCTTAGTTAGGATAGCTGTTGTCAAACACTGTTTATTATAGGAATTACAGGAAAATTGATATATCAACCTTTTATTCTATTTCTGGAAAATAAAGTCAATTCAGGCTTTGGAGTAAGTTATTTGCTCCTTTGCTGTTCATATTAAGTCTAAGAACTTGTAGACTGATTTTTAAAACTTGGCCATTTGTTTCTTTTGGTTTCAAGATGTTGCTGCACGAGTCAGGCTTTATAATGTTGGAACTATCACTGGACTTAGTTCTACTCTGTGCTAGTTTGTTCATTTGGCTGGTACTGGAGTTTAAAATCAGGGTCTTGTGCTTGCTTGGCTAGTATTCTACCAATTGAGCTATACCTCCACATTGGCTTTTGGCTGGTTATTTTGGAGACAGAGTCTTTTTTTGTTTTTGTTTTTTGGGTCCGGTCGTGGGGCCTGAACTCTGGGCCTGGGTGCTGTCCCTCAGCTCTTCAGCTCAAAGCTAGCGCTCTACCACTTGAACCACAGCGCCACTTCCGACTTTTTCTGCTTATGTGGTGCTTAGGAATCGAACCCAGGGCCTCATGCATGTGAGGCAAGCACTCTTCCACTGAGCCACCTTCCCAGGCCCTAGAATATTCATTTTTTAAAGATATTTATTGCAGGCTTCTTAGAATATATAATTTTGTTCTCACTGGGAAGGCAAAAAAAATTTATTATAAACATGAGATGTTCCTGAATTTTACAATTCTATGGTCCAGAAGTGGGACATATATATGAACAAAAGTTACATATGTTAAGCTAAGAGGAGTGTGACCTTGTATCCTACTTGGCCTGACAGTACTTCATTACTATTAAGAACACTCACCAGCTTCACTGGCTCACACTTGTAATCCTAGCTTCTCAGGAAGCTAAGATCTGAGGATTGCAGTTTGAAACCAGACAAGGCAGAAAAATCTGTGAGACTCTAGGCTCTAGTTAACTACCAAAAAACCTGGAAGTAGAGGTGTGGCTCTATGGTAGAGCGCCAGCCTTGAGTGGAAATGTTAAGGGAAAACTCCCTGGACCTGAGTTCAAGCTCCACTATCAGCACAAGAGAGAGAAGGGGGGGGGGAGCAAATGTTGCCTTTCATTTTTGGAACTGTCTTAAAGTCATAGTAAGAGTCTCTCTGAATGAATGTTGGGGATGTGGGAGTTGGAGTAATAGGATAGAAAGTAGGAGAAACCAGCATGCTTTCCCAGAGTCCACTTGAACTGGATGATGAAGGAAGTTTGAGCATCCAGGGCCTTGGAGCTTGGGGTAGCTGGACATGGGAAGTGGGAAAACAAAAGGAACCCTTCAGGAAAGTGTAAAGTTCTGCTGGCAAAGGAAGACTGCTCTGGAAGCAAGAGCAATTAGTTGGTTCCAGCCAGGCATTGTTTCCCAAATTTACCCTATAATAACAATTCCTTACCGACTTTTAGGTTCTGCTGGACACCAAGGCCTTATTTGGGTGCTAGACAAGTAAGCACTGAGGCTCACTCCAGAGTGGATTTGTATGGGGTTTTAAAATTGTTATTGTAAAGGTGATGTACAGAAGGATTACAGTTGCATAATGCATTTCTTTTTGAACAGTGTCACCTCTGGATTTGTGTTTTTTTTAACACGTTCCCAAAGAACAGTTAGATAGTGTGGGCATATTTCTTGTGAGCCTAAAACAAAAATGCCTCCTGCCTACTCTGCTTCTCTGTAATGCCTAGAATGCACCTGACAGTTGTGTTTATTATCTGTGGGAAGAAGATCAAATCAATACCACCGCCTCCAGAACATCCCAACCCTTTTGTTTCTTCAGACAAACACCTGCTCTTCCATTACAGGAGGTTACTGGTCAAGCCTTACCGTGTATGCTTACCCTGTCTTTGTTATCAAATGTGTAAGATAGTCCTGATACATCAGCTCTGTGCGTGTCAACCGCTTTTCAGTACAAGTGTCAGCCTGAGTTTGCCCCTGAATTTGGGAGCTGTTCTGGGAACTCACTGCAGCCACCTCAAAGATCCTCTACATCTCTGGGAAATGATCCTGTACAAGGACCCCTTATCCAGGCTCGGAGATCCTTATGCCTGGTTCCTTCATGAGTGGGTACACCATAGTTTTGCGAGGAGCAGTCCCTACATGGAATAACCCAAGAGAAAAGGAAAAGCTGATGTTTCCTGGTGCCTCCCAACGTGAAGGTATGAACTTGAAGGCTCCTGTCACTAGGCCTGTTGGCTTCCCGGTGAAGCAGCAGACCAGAAATCAATTCCTGGGAAGTTAAGAACAGAAAGAAAACGGCTGTACTGTAACTGGGAAATCCTCTACCCGTCCTAGCCAGCCGCTGCAGAGCGTCCCCGAGGGCGGCTCGGAGCGGGGCGAGGCATCTTCATTCCCTGGCCACTGAGTGACTTCTAGTTCTGGGAGCGGTCGGGACTGGAAGCAGCGGCTGAAATCTTCCACCCGGCGGGATCAGGAGGAGGGGGTGGGGACAGTCCACAACGGCCTCCAACAACACCAGGGCTTCCTTAACTTTTGTGCAGTCCAGTGCCAGCCACACCAGGGAGCCCCAGTAGCAAGATGAAATATAAAAGGAAAGGAGGAAAAGGCGCGGCAGACACGGATTCAAAACACGCATCCTGTCAGTGCGCCAGAGCAGCCCGGGCTCCGGGGGTCCCAGGCGCCGAGGCGGGAGGCGCAGCCGAGAAGCCCCTTCCCGCGGCCTGGACGCATCCATCGAGGTGCCGCGGGGGGAACCCGACGAGCGCGCGCAGACTTCAAAGGCCCGGCGCAGCGCGCGCCCCCACCCGCGTAGCGCCAGTGGTACGGCCTGAGGGGGCGGCTCCTGGGGCGCGGCTCCGCGGCAGCTGATGCGCGCCCCGCCACTGGAAGGCGGGAGCGAGACCCCGACACCCGGAGTCGCCGGGCACCGCGGGCGGCCCCGAGAGGCCGGCAGAGGCGTCTTCACCAGCGAGGGAGCCCCGCTCGGGGGGACAGAACGCCGCAGCGCTAGGAAGGAGGACGCGGGAGAGCGGCGCTGCTGCGGGCTGAGGAAGCCCTCCACCCGGCCCCCGACGGCGCTCGTTGAGCCACATCCGCGCCGCGGCCGGCGACGCGTTCCGGACGCCTGTCACCGTCCCCTCCATCTTGAACGGGGGTTGGGGGAAGAGGAGGCAGGCTCTTCTTCCCGCACATCCCTGCCCCGAGGAGAGGAGCTGCGGCAGCCGGGCTCATGGCGTTCAGCCCTTGGCAGATCCTGTCCCCCGTGCAGTGGGCGAAGTGGACGTGGTCTGCCGTGCGCGGCGGGGGCGGCGGCGAGGATGAGGCCCCGGGGCCCCAAGGCGACCCTGAGGAGGACGACTCGCAAGCCGAGACGAAATCCCTGAGCTTCAGGCAAGTACACAGCATCCCTGCCCAGATGCAGACGTGCTGCCACCCACCTACCCGCGGCTCCTCCCGTGTGCTTGCGTGTGACCTCCCGCCTGTCCGTGCCATCGCCGTGCCACGTCCCTGCCCATAACCACCTCCGCGCTGTGTTGGTCCAGAGTTCGGGGTGGTCTGTCCTCCGGTGTGTTTTCGTCCCCCGGTTTCACTGTGAGCTCTCTGGAACCCAGCTTCCGCCTGGTCACGCGCGCGCACACACATAGGGACAGTGTCATTGATCACGCCAGGTAGAACCGAGAGCATCCTGGGGAGCGGGGGTGCGGGTGGGGGTCGCTGCCTGGCCCTCCTGGGCCTCACTGTTCCCCTAAGCTGTAGCCCTTGTAAAGAGGATCGCATGATGACAGGCCCCTGGCAACTGGTGAGAAATGGTGGTGTCTGCTGAGCTGTCACCCCTGTGATTGTGGAAGGCAGGTGACAGGATTCTTGACACTCCAGCAGAATGAGGTCCTGAAAGGTAGAGAGGCCTACCAAAGAAAAAAGACATGGCTGGTATTATGAGGGCAGCGCTAATTTTTAAGCCTCTAGAAAAGAGGTCCTGTGAGAAAAGGAGTCTTGCAAACCTCCTTCCACCCCTCCTCCCCCTGCACGAAAAGGGAAGATGACCTCAAATATAAATGTGCTGGAGAAAATCTCCAGAGAACGGAGATTGCAGGGAGACAGGATGGTACACTGAGAATTCCAAGAGGGCACCGCCAAAAGCCGCAGCAGCCTCCTCACAGGCCAGTTTATGCAGAGGATCAGCTGGTTGTAAATAGTTAGACCAAAAAAACACCTTTATTCGTATGTATATTGTATCAGGTATAGGAAATACCGTTGAAAGTGGTAATTCCTCATTTTTCCCCCTTGGCAGCTCGGATTCTGAAGGTAATTTTGAGACTCCTGAAGCTGAAACTCCCATCAAATCACCTCTCAAGGAATCCTGTGATTCACAACTGGGACTGGCAGGTCCTGGGTCCATAACCCAAGGTAAAAAAAAACTTCATTCTTCTGCCTGTTTTGTATAGTTTAAAAAAATGTGTATGAAAGAAAGAAAAAAATGTTAATTTAGGACTGTTTCAATGGGTTTGGATTGTCTCCTTGTCCAGAAAGAGCCTTTTTAATAAAGCTCCTAGTTTAGTTGTAAGGTGTCCCCACCCTACCCCAACATTTTGCACATTTGATTATTAGAAGCCTTGTTTATTCTCTGGTTAGCATTTAGTGCAGTTGGACAGTTCTCAACTTTTTAAAAAGTAAAAATGTGTAGAGTAATACAGTGGTAGGGCTCTGTTTAGATTTGTCTTCACAAATTCCTCAGGCTAAATTGCTTTAGGGTGTGGCTAGACACAAAAATTATAGGTAAGAGTTAATTTTTTTTTGAGTTAGGAATCCTTAAGAGGCAGTTACAAAATTACTTGACTACTACTATGCAGGCATAAATACCTTCTAGTCTTTCAGAGCCCAACCTTGGCCTTGCCCTTCATCAGTAGATGCTGTCCCACTTAATTAGTAGAAAGCTTTTTTGTTACCCATACAATTCTAAGTAAAAATTTGAACTGTCCTATTAGAAACGATTTGCTCATTCAGTAGGTAGAGCAGGAAGTCCTGCTGCTCTCAGGGAGCTAACATTTTAGGGGAAGATGGAGGGGTTAAGGGTTAAGCTAAATGTACACATTAGCTTCTGTTAAATACTACAGGAGAAAGTAAGTGGGGAATGGGGAATATGAAGTGTGACTAGTAAATGCTGAAAGGTAGTCGGGGGAGTGTGACTGATAAAGTGACTGGGGCCAAAACCCCAAAAGAGAATTGAGGAAACAAGATTTGGAGAAAGGACTCCTCTCAGAAGGAGTGGCTTCTGCAACATTGTGAGACTTGACCAGCTTGCCCTGGGTGAGGTCCCAGGATGAGAATATTCATGGTGTATGTGAGGACCAGTATGAAAGCCAATGGCTGACTTGGAAGTGACAGGTAGACAATCTTAGGACCTGAAGTCAAGGAGGTGGGAGAGTCCAAGCGTCTAGGCCCGACATAAGAAAATACAAAAACAGAGTGGCACACATTTGTTCCCTCCTAGTTTTGGAGAACTGAAATTAAAACTTGAAGTCTGAAACCAGGAATTGGCAGAGTTGCGCTCCTTTCAAAGGCTGTGGGAAGAATCCTTTCTTACCTGTTCTGGCTCCTGGTGATGGTCAGCGGTTACTAGAGTTAATTGTCTTATCACACCATAGTCTTTCCACGTGTCTGAATCTTCCCAAAGTGCCAGTCATTGAATTTAATCCTTAACTTCATTACATTCTCAAAGATACTGTTTACTAAGGAACATATCAGGTGTGAAGAGATAGGACTTTTTTTATTTGTTTTGTACTAGGATTTGGACTTTTTTTTTTTTTTTCAGTACTGGAATTTGGGGTTTGAACTTGGGCCTGGTGATTTTGGGGCAGGTGCTGTATTACTTGAGCCAGATCCTCCCTTTTTTTTTTTTTTTTTGCTTTAGTTATTTTTAGATAGCATCTTGAGTTTTCCGTTAAGCTGGGGTGACAGTTAAGGGCCATCATGCCTATCTTATTTGTGGATATGGTCTTTCTTTTTGGCTAGATTGGCCTCTAGCCATGCCAGTCTCTGCCTCCTCAGTAATTGGGTTTATAAGTGTGAGCCACTGTGCCCAGCCTAACATTTCTTTTCTTTTTTTTTTTTTTTTTTTTTTTTTTTTGGTCGTTTGTGGGGCTTGAATTCTGAGCCTTAGCTCTTCAGGTCAAGATGAAGGCTCTTATCAGTTGAGCCATAGTGCCACTTCTGGTTTTCTGGTAGTTAATTGAAGATAAGAGTCTCATGGACTTTCCTGCCTGGGCTGGCTTTGAACCACGATCCTTAGATCTCAGCCTCCTGTGTATAGGATTACAGGTGGGAGCTACCAGTGCTCGGCTAACATTATTTTTTATTTTTTGAGGGACACAATTCAACTCACAACAGGAATTTGAGCAGAGGAATTTTGTTTTGATCTTTGTTCTTGATTTTTTTAGACAGCATCTCACTCTGTAACTCAAATTGGCCTAGAACTCATGATCCTCTGTCTTGGTCTTTCTAGTGCAGGGATTGATTTCTTATTTCAAGGTTCTCTGGCTATTGTATTGGATGAGACTCTAGGGTGTATTGCTTACAATGGCAGATAGAACCAGCTTTCAGCTATATAGCCACCTAATTTTTTAAACTGATTTTGACTACGTCAGACCCACAGTTGAGATGTCTATTTTTAGTAATTTCTTCAGGTTACCTAGAGAAGTCAAGTCACTCTGATAATATATAATTGTTGGTAAAATGACATCAGATTTTTTTGTGTGTGTGAATTTTTTTTTTTTAAACTAGGACTAGTGGATTGAACTCAGGACCTAGCACACCTTCAGGCTCCTTTGCAATTTGTTTTTGTCTGAAATGAGAGCTCTATGCTCTGTCTGCCTGCTGAGCATAAGGCAGTACTGTAAACCTATTTTGTTCAATGCAAGACTGTTTGGGAACAGACAGGTTTATATACTGGAGAACTTGGTATGTGGCACAAAGCTGTGTATCATTCTCACTGATGAAGATACCACTTGTTTCTCATAGTTCTCTTTTCTTCTTGCAAGATTGGCAGATCAGAAGGGAGATTTAGAAGCTTGAAAGAACTGTTTTGTGACTTTCCCATCAAATTTAAATAAAACCCATAAGACACATGTTAAGTAGCTGTCTGAAAGCCTCTTTGAATTGCCCTCAGCGTGGGCTGCCTGGCCCTTTCTCATCATTCCATCAGCTGCTAAACTGATTCATCCTGCCAATTTCTTGGCCAACTGAATAGAGATCTGGATGGGCCTAGGCCCCCAAAGCCACAGAGACCTAATTGTTTAATCTGTCCAGTACTGATGATGACTTTCACACGCTTTTATTCTATCTAAAAAATATTCTCTAGACTTTTTCCTGTTAGAGAGTATTGGATCAGGAAAGCTCTGTAGGGTTTGTGACTATAGGCTATAATTGTAGGGGCTGGAGATTGGTGGTGTACAATCTAGAAAACAATCCTACATATTATGGAATCTCTTACTTTAAGTTTTTTAAACAGTAGGACGCTTGCTCATCAGCTGGGTAGTGTGTGGAGGTAGTCCAGATTTTTGTGGCTTGATTGCCCTGCCACACATATGCAGTAAATGTGAAAATACCCCAAAGTACAGGTCTGATGAGAGATAATTTCAGAGGGCAAAAATTCCTTAAGGGTCATTTTATGTTGCAATTTAATTTCTGGGACTGAAAATGATATTTTCATTGTTTCTAACATCTTTCATATTTCTGTGGTTCCAAGATATGGTTGAACAGTAAGTATAGACTATTTAAGACTGTATCTTTTGGAGGGCCAGTTTAAGAGTTGTTAGCCCAGAGCTGTTGTTAACATTAAAAAAAATTTATTGTTATTGTAAAAGTGAGGTACAAAGGGGGTACAGTATATAAGCTAGATAATGAGTTGTTCCTTTTTGGACAATCATCTCTTCCATCCTGTCCCCACTCACAACTTGTATAGTTCATTTTCATCATAATGTCTAGTGAGTATCACTGCTGCATTTGTTCACTCTCTTCCCCTCCATTTCTCAGTCTCCCTGCCCCCCCCTCCGTACCCTTCCTAAGGCAGACAAATGAACAAGACAAAAAGAAAAGGAAAGAAAAACAACAGCAAACTAAAAAAAACCTCTTGTTTCTATTTCCTGGACTTGGTGTTAACTATCTGTAAATGGTCCCAGCTTTCTGGTATACAAAGGTACTCAAATGAAGTGGTTATGTCTCATATACCATACCTATGGTTCCTGTAATGACTTCCATAATTCTTTCTATGCAGGGAAACATATGACTTTCCTTTTATTGAGAGTCTCTTAGGAACTTTTTTTTTTTTTTTT